TGCAGAAGACCCTGAAGTGACATTTGCTCAAAGTTTCGGTGGCTGGGAGAGGTAGCTTATACTGTTCGATTGCTTCAGGCCAGTTAGTGCACTACCTGAAAAGAAATGTAGGATGAACGTTTCTTAATGCTTGCCATGGCTGTGCTTTATTGTGAGGTTACAGGGCACTGTGGAAAAGCAAGCTATGTATTCTATAATGGCGTGGCGGATGAAGTAGAATGGTAGGTGAGGGTCGTTGGGGTGGAATGAGTTTGTAAGCAGGGTCTTTGTCAAATGTGTCATCTTACTTTTATTGCTACTTTTGTCTGAAATAGGCCAAACGTTGTATTGCTGTAACTACAGAGAGCTCAAAGATACCTCAGATTCTTACATCACCCAAAGGAAGGTTAGGGAAAAACACTTCAATGTGACTGTTTCAGAATAGGCTTTGGTTTTTTTGTAAGGGCTTGACTTCAGTAGGTATCAGTTTATGTATTTGTTTCCTGCAGTAATGGTTGCAAGTGAGTAGCCTCATCTGTCATATTTTGAAAACTGTGGTGGGCAATAGGTTCACAGGAGTGCCGGGGGGTTGTGAGGTGTGCCTTCCTAGTTCTGTCCTTTTCATATGCTGCGGGTGGTCTCTAAAAGAAGGAAACAGTTGAGAAACGCCGTTACAGGGTGTTGGCCAAGCCTGTGAGATCAGGACCCCCTCTAGTGGCGACACCTCTGCCAGACTTTGAGATGCATTCTGCAGGTGTTGGTTTCTTTCAGTCGTGGATTTTTTTCTCCCTCTAAACCCCCCATTTAGGTCCCCTCTGATAACTGTGGGGAATATGTATGATTACTATTACAGTTGTTACTTTGACAAGGAGTAAATTGGGTTCATTCTGACCATCAGAGATACAGAAGAGACAGTGTTGTGTTATATATCGCTAGCATTAGCTCTTTAGCTTGCCTAAGTATTATAATGCTATGTCAAGATGTGGAATAGGGAAGAATCAGAGAACTCACAAACACAGTGGTAAAGGAGAAACTTTGAATGTGTTAAATCATAGTAATGATAAGAAAAGTGGATACAAAAGTACATGTATGATCACTTTGAAATTTGCTACACCTGTAGTGTAATCTTAATTTCTCTGTGGCTTTGAGGTGGAGATTTTTAATGTTAATTCTTAAATTAACAATGGGAGACAGATGGAAAAGAAAAATATGCTGACAGTGCTCCAAAAAGTAGTGCTTAGCAAGTGTGTGAAACAGCAGAGTCACTTCATAATCTGTTCAAAATATTTTTCTTGCAACGTCTGTACATTTTTATGTTGAACTGCCTGGGATAGATTCACTTTCTACAAGTTTTGAGTCATCAATCATACATCTAGACTCAGGGATGTTTATCAACGTCTAAATGTTACTGTTATATGTTACTGCATCAGTAATGATGACTTTCTTGGGAATCAGCATTGGAGCTACTTTTTTGTCAATCTGTTACAAGTTGTAGTTTCAGAATGAAAAACCTTGAGTCCATGCACTACTATGTTATATTTTTTTCTTATATGGAAGCAGAATTGTTTTTATTTTATTGGGCATTCTTTGTCTTCTGTTACTTGTTCTTCTGCCAGCTAAATAGCTTAAATAGAAATGTCTGTTAGTGAAGAAATGGCATGTATTCTTTGTGGCATAATTGTCATGAACAAACCAGAATACATTTAACGCCAGAGTCAGTGGAGGTTTTTGCTGCCTCTTTTTTGTTTGTGTAGCATCACTGTTGGTAGAAGTTGCTGACTACAGTAAAAGCTGGCTGTACATCCAGGACATTATTCAGTGATACTGGCAGAGAGGGCAAGTAGTTGAGACGAGGTATGCTGCTATGCTAGATAATGACAAGTTGTAGGGCAGCATGTGGCATTTTATAGTTGCATTACAGTGTTTTCATGGCTAATATATAGCATTTGTCTACGGGATGATGCCTTTTCCTACCATTTAGGGGGGGGGAAATGGGTAAAGGCTAGAATGAATTGCTTCATTAGAGAGCATTAACTATTTGATTCTGATAAGTGTATTTACAGTGATAATAGATCACTTGCCTTCTTTGCCAAGGCAAGTATGGGTGGGATACAGTGTTGCTGAAGGTCTGAAGTGCACTTAAGTAGATATTTCAAAAGTTGTCTGAGATAGTGCCATCAGTTTGTGGCTTCAGTTATCAATGAAGGTATAGCTAGCTAATACGGAAATACAGGCTTCCTAAAAGCCTAATAAAAATATGGGTAACTTACAGTATAAAAGGTAAAGATCCATACAGTTGTGTCATGTCATATATAGACTTCTTTATGTATTTCCTAGCATTCTTATTTGCATCATTTTCCCATGAAATTATGGTTAAATTTACTACTTTTTTAGGCTTTTACAGTGAATTGCTTGAATTCTTTGTCAAATCCAATTCAGACATCTCATTTGAATACCTTGAATGGTATCTTACTACAAATGCAAATAGCTTCTTCAAAATAATTCCTGTCTTTTATTCAGTAAGTGCTGAAGAGTACAAAAATAGGAAATTGGTGGGCTGGAGTTAAGGCTGTTCGGGTGACTTTTTTACCTTGCAATTTCTTGATTTCAGAATTCCATATCAAATACAGATATTTGTTCTGTTTCAGAGAGAGAGAGATAAAAATAAAAAAAAATTCCTCCTCAGTGGTGGATAGATGCTTACTTGCACAATTCCAACTTTTGCCTATTGTAGATTTGTGTGTTAGAAGCATACATTTATAGTGATTTTTGTCTATAATCTGAAAATTGTAAATCACTGCTTCTTAATAAACTGCTTTCATTAAAATTCTTGGCTAAGATTTGTGATGTAGTAGTGCATATGCATATTTATTTAATGAATTACTGTTCTGACTTAAAGGCTTGAATTGTTTAGCTCGCCCGTGAATAGTCTGCAATTTTTATTTAATAATGTATTACTAACTGGAAGGTAGGAAAATTGGAGCACTTTGGTAACTTTACTGAAAGAAATGTAACTATATGACTTCTAGTATTATTCTGGTTATTTTGACAATGCCATTTTGGTTTCCGCAGTGGCAGTGCATATATGTATAGTGGCAGTTGGTAATCTGCCTGTAAAGCATGAAGTCAGAAAGATCCTAGTCAGTGGTGGTACTTCATTGTGGTAGACATATTCAGAGCTACAGGGATTGAAAGGTTTTGCCCCAAGGATGGGGTCAGTTATCACTGGTGTGATGGCAGCGTGGACCCTGGCTGTGCAGTGTGCCAGTCACCAAACAAGGCTTGGAGTCTTCTGTTAAATGCTTATTTACCAGTCTGAACTTTTTGCTTTTTATTGTTCACTCCCAGCTAAGGAAGTGCTTATTTTGTGTAGTTCCTCTCTAGCTTCCAACATAGTAACATTTCTCATACAAAAGCCATGTCATTGCGCCAGAATTGTGCTGACTCTTTTATAGATCAAGATTCCATCTAATATTTTTCTAAACTGGCTTGCTTATTTTTTTGTGTTCCATTACTTTATTTTGGAGTTTTAACAAACTTTTTCTTGGCAGGAAAAGATGAAGTGAAGCCAGATGTAGTTTGAAAATGTCTTGATGTCACAAATAATGAATGGATAGTGTATTTCATTTAAAACAAAAAGCTCACTCCAACGCATGGCCTCCCCCACATATTTGTTTATATTTGTGTTGCCTGTTTCATAATGGAAGTTACAAGAAATAGTCATCTCAGGTGAAACCTACCTATACTGTCTTGGCAACCATGAAATGTACTTCTGCCATCATAGATTCATTCATTTGTTAGATCGCCTTTGTGTTAGATAGTATAAGCAAATTAATCAAAATTACATTAAACACCAGCAAATTCCATCCCTCTGTTCATTTCCATTTCTGTAGCAAAAGCTAGTCTGTACAAGATCTTCATTACTATTAATGAAGCGTTATTCTTGAAATTCATTAAGCAAGGGGGATATGTATCTTAGTGGTTTGGGAAGTGTAGAGTTAAAAAATTACAGTAAGAAAGTAAAAGTTTGCCAACTAATTATTTCTGTATTTTAAAAATATTTTCAGACGTTGTTTAAAATTTTGGTTTCTGCATTCTTCTTTTTTCCTAAATAATGAACCCAAGAAAGTCTCTGCAAAATATTTTTCAGAAAGTTTATGAATTGTAACAGAAACAAGATACATGTGTAATGTTTTCCTCAGTATGTTCAAAAGGTTCTGCAGTTTCTTTAAGGCTTAACCCTTGTATTTTGTTCTAGAACTTAAATATCAGAGTAAACCTGAAATACATAGACTAATTGTAAGATGCAGTAATTTGCAGCAAAAGTACCTTCGTATAAAGTAATATCAAAATAATTATGTAAATTTCAGGGGTTTCTGTACTTGTTTACATATGCTTTTAAGGTACAGCATAAAATTGTTATGCAGGCTGTTTTCCTTACTTTTCATTTCTGAAGACATGTGCTTTTCTGTATGGAATTTTCAGAGACATCTGAAAGCTGCTAGGCTTTCTTCACAGCTGCATCATGTTCAGAGGCTAACATTCATTCTAGGATTGAACAAAAACCATGTCTTTTTAAAATTTTATTTTGCTTCCATTTGATCAGGGAAGTCTGTCTTTTGGCAAAAAATATTGCCACTAGTTAAAAAATATGACGAGCGTTCTGTATGTCAGATTCCATGTCACTCAAAGACATTCAGATTTGGTAGTAATGATGCCTCTTATCAGTAAATTATAGTAGCAAACTTCTGCTATTCCTATTAAGTTATGTTACGATGGTATTAAATAAAATGTATAGTTTTTATTGCTCTGCCTTATGCTGTGAATATTTTTCTTCTTATTTAGAAAGCAACAACAGATAAAAGTGTTGAAATGATCTTAAACTGTGATAACTAGACAATAACAAATAATTGACTTCCTTTGTTGTAAGTTAATTCTTTAATTCCTTTGTTGTGTACATAGCGTGTCCTATAACCCATGGTCCTGAGGATGAGAGGAAGGAATTTGCCTGTTACGATCTGCGTTTTTTTTTGTTTTGTCTTTCTTCAGATTAACAGAGTTAAAGCCCTTGAGAACAAAGGATAGTAATAAAATAAAAATAAAAAAACCCTAAAAAAGCATTTTACTGTCATAGTAATGTCTGTTATAGGAGCAGGGTCAATCTAGTTGCTGTTCCACTTTTTTGAGGTACTGGAATTTTTCAAGGGTAAGTCAAATGTTGTGGCAACAGTCCCTTTTATTCGATGTGAAGGTAAACGAGAATAGGCATGAAGATGGAGTTTAGGTGGTAGGCTGCAGTTTTAGTAGCTTGGGAAGAAGTAACATTTTTGTGTTCCCAGTTTCTGATCTGTGTATCACTTGAGAAGGATCAGATGAAGGATGAGATGTCACTCTCCATGTACCATCCAGTGCCATGCAGGTTGTCTTCAGCCTAGGCCTTAAAGTTCAGTTCAGTCTTCTGCATCCTGCTGCTCCTTCCCCTTTAAAGGAGGAAATGAGCAGTATGTACATGGTAATGTCACTGCAGAAAAGCATGGTTTAAAAAAAGGGAAGGTTTTCTTTGCAATTGAATTGTAAAATATGAAGATCCCCTGCATGATTCAAAAAGTTATAGCATGGCAGTCCTCTGTTAATATCTGATAATAAACATTACTAGGAAGGCAGCAAGAGAGGGAACCAGTAGTAATTCTTTTGGAATGCCATGTTAGTAAGCAAATACTCTCATGATAAATAGAAAACACTAGAGGATTAAAATACTCTCATGATAAATAGAAAACAGTAGAGGATTAAAGCACTGAAACAGGAACATTGAAGAGCTTTCTCCCTCTTTGAAACAGTGTCGTGGTTTAACCTCAGTCGGCAACTAAGCACCATGCAGCCGCTCGCTCACTCCCCCCACCCCCCCGATGGGATGGGGGAGAGAATTGGAAAAGCACAAGTGAGAAAAACTCGTGGGTTGAGATAAAAACAGTTTAATAATTGAAATAAAATGATAATGATAATAATATGATAATAATAATAATAATACACAAAGCAAGTGATGCACAGTACACTTGCCCACCCCCCGCCGACCGATGCCCAGCCAGTCCCCGAGCAGCGGCCCCCCCCGGCCAGCTTCCCCCAGTTTATGTACTGAGCATGACGTCACATGGTATGGAATGTCCCTCTGGCCAGTTTGGCTGTGCCCCCTCCCAGCTTCTTGTGCACCTCCAGCCTTCTCAGACGGTAGAGCATGGAAAACTAGAAAGTCCTTGGCCAGTGTAAGCATTACCTAGCAACAACTAAAACATCGGTGCCTTATCAATTTTGTTCCCATCCTAAATCCAAAACACAGCACTGTACCAGCTACTAGGAAGGAAATTAACTCTATCCCTGCCGAAACCAGGACAAACAGTAATAACATTCACTCAAATAGGGAATGCTTTAGTTTGATGGCAGAAGTGAAGAAAAGGAGAAGCTGAGGTAATGCTGCATCTAACTACCATCAAAGCCTGGTGAGAGAAAGCAGAGCAGTTCAAGTACTGCTGTTGTGTAGTAACTTAGAAGTGAATAATTTTGGTTGAGGTGCTCAATTCAACTATACCGGCATTTGGGTCAGCAGACTGGCTCTCAGTTACTGCACTAAGGCCATTGCTGTTTTGGTAGAGGATGGAATAATGAAACCACCTTTTTGTCGGAAGCAATGAAGTGAAGCAAAGTGGAATCTGACAAGGGGAACAGAGTGTACTGAATTTCAGCTCGCATTGCAGGAGACAGGTACAAAAATAAAAATGATAAAACCTTCCTTCCTACTGACGATAGTTTTGAACTCAAGCTGTTAATGAAACCACCTTTTTGTCGGAAGCAATGAAGTGAAGCAAAGTGGAATCTGACAAAGGGAACAGAGTGTACTGAATTTCAGCTCGCATTGCAGGAGACAGGTACAAAAATAAAAATGATCCTTCCTTCCTACTGACGATAGTTTTGAACTCAAGCTGTGCCTCTGTGCAGCAAACTGATGAGTCTGGAACTGCAAGGGAAGTTAAAAAGATCTTCAGGCTTCTGCCTGTTTGTTCACAAAAGCAAAAAAAATTGCTTTATGGCCTTAAAGAGAGGATTCAGCTCATCAGCGCTCTGGAAATGTATCTACTATACTTTGGCTGCTTTTCCTTTTATGTAGTTTAAGAAAGTAAGCTTTGAAATAAGCTTTGAAGGATCAGGGAGGAGGCTTAAAATAGCAGCAGTGAAGAAGCGAGGAGATCATCAAGATCCATTTTTTTCTTTTCATACCTCTCACTCTTCGCCCAGGTACATTCCTGTTCCTTCCACTTAAAACAGGTGACTGTTCTTCAGATCAGGTTATCCATCTGGTGGTATGGGTAGGTGGCATTTGTGCGGTTTCTGATGATGAGATGTTTGTTCTGCAGCACTGTTTAAACATTTATTTGAACCCAATTAATGCTGTTGAACGCTGGCATGCTTTATTACTTTATGATTTGAGCTCACATTAGTATTATGATACCTCATTTTTCATACAGTGGTAGTTAAGGAACAAAGCTCAGTAACGTTTCTTCCTACTGATTTTCCTTTGTGTTTGTGTGCTTAAAATGAGAAATAAAGGATGAACAACTGGTTAAAAATCAAAAGCTTTTGTTCTGCGGGTACAAGCAGTCAACTGGGGGATTTGGAATCCGTAATTGTTACCTTGTATATACTTACACTGTATATCAAATCCATTCCTGAAGGTCTTCAGCATTTATTATACGTAACATTCTTATAATAATTGATTGAGATCTAGGAAATACAGGTCAGTCTGAAGTGTTACCTGAAGAACTTTTTAAATTTTTTTTTAAAAGAAATTAAAGATATAATCCTTGTTGTTCGTTTTCTCTGAACACTATCATTATTTGCAGATGTCTAGCTGTGTATCAGCTAGATCTCTGGGTATATTATATGAGCTTTGGAATCTATACTTGATTCTGTTTGCAAGTATTTCCTCAGCATATTGAGTCCTGCAAATAATTACTTTTTATTAGACTGAATAAATTTTAATTGAATGTTTGCTCTTTTATATGCAGTCTGTTCCATTTCAAAATTGTAAAGGTCAGCACTAGTTGTATTTTGCATAATAAAAACATTGGCTTAATTTGCTGTCTCACTGTAGGATTACATTTAATAATTTATTTTAATAAAGAAGCATAGCTTTTCAAAGTGTATCTTTCTGATGGTTCAAAAACTGTACCTTCTCTTTTTTTCTTCTCAGATTTATCCAAGAATAGATTAACTGAGGTTCCTACGGAGTTGTGCCATTTCGTGTCACTGGAAACACTAAATCTATACCACAATTGTATAAAAATTATACCAGAAGCCATAGTGAACTTGCAAATGCTAACTTACTTAAATTTGAGGTAAGTTTAACTTTGCCACATTTTCTGTTTATTTGCAAATGTGAAAAGCTTTTTCTTGTCTGCACTTTATGTGTTTCTGGAACAACAGACTACATTTTTCATTTTATTGGAAACGGTAGTGCAAAAATTCATTGCCTGTAGGTACAGCTCTGCATGAAGGCATTGTAAAGGCCAAAATGTAAAACTAATTAAGGAAAGACCTTTCTTTCGTTTATTCTTCTAGCAAATTCAGAATGCTAATCACATCAGCACAGTCGGTTTCTTTTAATTCCCTTCTGATGATAAATTTTGTGAAGCTTGACATGCTTTTTGTAGTTAAAAAAGATGGAGGGACAGAGACAGAGGATTAATTTCTTTTCATGGGGAATGGAGAGGAAAAGTGTGATACTTTATCACTACTATCCTCTTATTATGCAAGAAGTATAGTTACTGCTTTTTTAGGAGGAAGGGGCAAAGAATAAGTCACCTTTGTGTCTTTTTCATGAGAAGTTGTGCGTGAATACTAATTGGTATAGAGAATTGCTACTGGTTAAAGTGCAGGTGAATGCACATTTACTTTTGAGAGAGGGAATGTCAGCACTTTTTCAGTTGGGACAAGATGTGAAGGTTTATTTGTGGTTGAGTGAAGATGTAATAATCTGTTCTTTGTGAGAATGAGGTTTGGGCAGGGGGCAAAGTGGCTCTTGGGCTTTTAAATTCAAGGTATACAGGCTTGGTTATCAGTTTTGTAAACACTGAGGATGTTTCTTAGGCCTTGCTGTATTGTTACTGTACTGCAGTTTTGGCCACTGTGGAACACTAATTTTGGCTCTAAAAATTGAAACAGAATAATGTGTCCTGATATCTGTACACATGGAAAGAATAGGACTTGAAATTTTGAAATAGTGTTTGTTAGATATACATAAAGAAATTAAGACTGGATGAGATTATTAAGTTTAAATAAAATATCTTAGTAAATTTAGGAATTAGAATAAACTTAATTAGAACGCAATTTAGTGAACTAGTGAATTAGAACACAATGCAGTGATGGAATTTGTTGAATCATGACAAACCCAGAATAGTTACAGAGTTAATATCACATATCACAGTAAATTAAACAATCAAAACAAACGGAAATTTTTCAAGCTTTACTAAGTGATGTCATTTCCCTCAGTTTAAAATCTCCTCTTCACTCGGATGTGCTTTTCCCCCGTGTTAGCTGAACACAGTAAGCAGTCTGTAGAAGAAGGAAAGATATCCTTGACTTGCTAACCGTGTTGCTTCTTGGCAAGAAAAATATTATAGATTTAAAATGAATATTTTTCTGCCTGTTACCAGCAGAGCCCATATGTTAAATAGAATTAGAAAGTGATACTGAGAGATATACATAGTCTTTGGGCCTTGGTGGATACTGTTCATGTTTTATTTAAAGAAATTCCTTTTAAACTAATGATGATTTATTACTCACTTGCCCTGGTTATGTGCTGTTCCTTATCTCTTAGTGGGTTGCTTCTGAGTTCTATAGAAGTTAAAAATTATTTTTACTTTTTTTTTTTGGTGTCTGATCTGCTGCATAGTGTAACTTTTTTAGATTCTAGGCTTCCTCCATTTGAGTTCTTCAAGAACTTAAAAGATTATTTCTACTTATTTTTTAGAATAAGTTATGCCTTGGTCTTCTGTAAAGACACTAGAATTGAGAATCCTGACTCCACAATAAGCATTGATTCTTTTTTTCAACTACTGCTGGTTAGTAGTTGGATTTCTCATTTTTAATATCCTTGGGTTTGTTATTTGATACCTGTCTGTCTCCCAGCCTGTGTAACAGAGATATGATGATAGTTTGCTTTGTAAAACATTGAGACTGTTGTGTGGAGCATGAATACATGTTTTTATATACAGTTTTGTAGCAGACCACTGGATTGGCAGTTGAAGAAGAAATGTTTTGAGACTTGTGGAATTTTGATTTTTCTTTCAATTCAGTGTTGCAACTCTTACTGAAATTACACAGGACAATTTTTGCCATCTGTTTTCAGAGTTCAGTCATGCAAATCTGTTCTCTGGAGCCTTAACAGTCATGTTGGTTAACTAAAATGGTTCTTACTGGAGTGCCACTTTAAGTTACTGTTCATTGTTTTCCTACAGGTTAATACCCATAAAAAAGAAGAAGTTATATTTCAAGAAAACCTTCAAATATTCTAGGAAAGACAGTAGTTAATATGTTTTTCTGTTTAGCTTAAAGTTTCTTCTGGGAATTGGTCCACAAATCACAAGAAATAAATATTTGTAATCATCTGGAGATCACAAAGGGTCATGGCATTTGTCATCTTTTAAGTTCTAGCTTCCTGAGTAATTGTTACTAGAATGAGAACCTAAATCTTTTGAAAGTTTTCCACCAAATTTTGCCTTTCCTTGCAACTGTTCTTCATGAAAGTCTTCTGCTCACTCCTTCCCGCCCTCCCCCCCCAAAATGTTATGAAGAATAAAATGGCACATGTCAGTGACTTAAAGTTTTATCAATTTTAGGAAAAAGTAAGACAGAGAGATTAAATGGCTCAATATGAGTCTTGGAAATAAATGAACCATTGATGGTCACAGAATTTTTTGCTATATTTACCTGGATTAGTATCATAGAATCATAGAACAACAAGTACCAAGTAGTCTTCAACTATAAGTGTGCTTTACAGCAATTGAGAAAACAACTGTTTTATCTGTAATTTATTTATTTGTCTTTCAGTTGGAACAAAAGACATCCACTATACTGCCACATAAAACCATAGGAATGTTTAAATACTTGCAAAATACTGTCTTGGTTGACTTTCTTGTACTCATTAGGAAGGGAAGCAGCTGTTCTAGGTGACAACCAGACTTGTTACAATATTACTAAACTGATACAATGCATTTTTTCCGGAGTGGTAATATTCCACAATACTGTTTAGTCAATAATGCAGATATTTTTTGATGTGCAAGTGTTTTCTTAATGATTGCCATTCAAAAATTTAAATTTTATCTGCATAAAATCTGACCCATCAAAATGAAGGAATTTTACAACTCTCAGACTTTATGTGAGTATAAAGAACGTCACTGGTGTTTTTAATGGTTGGTTTTTTTTGTTTTGTTGCAGTCGAAATCAGCTTTCTTCTTTGCCAGCTTGCCTGTGTGGTCTTCCTCTAAAAGTCTTAATTGCAAGTAACAATAAGCTAGGTTCCCTTCCAGAAGAGATAGGTCAGCTAAAACAGTTAATGGAACTGGTATGTTACTGATATTTTTTTACTTTTTATTTTGACTTCGTTTGTATTTAACTAGAAACAGTAAAAGTCACTTTGCAAGTATATTTGAACAAATGCCTAATACTATAATGCAGGTTAAAAAGTTAGCTTTTGAACTTCTCAAGTGTGTTGGGGAGTTACACGATAATAGTTTCCTTTATGTTCTTCAGGACCCTTCTAAACAACATCACTGCCCTTGGTTCATTCAAAACTCAGCTTCTAAGTTCATCATCTTTACCAGTTTTACTCATTGCCTGCACTGGTTCTCTGTTTTGCTGTCTCAAGTCCCTAGTTCTGGCATCAGGCTCTGCAAAGCTGTGTCCCCTGCTGTATCCCCCTCCCCTTCTGCTTCCTTTCTCTGTGTTATTACTATCTGCTTACCACATTGCATTCCACCAGTGATATTGGTCTTCTCAGTCTATTTTAATTTTATTTCACTATTTTTGTCGTGCAACCTTCCTTTCCTGCAACACCCATCTAAACAGATTTACAAAACAATTATATTTCTCTTGTTTTCAAAGCTGTCCACATGACTACTGTTTCTGCAAGCAGTAGATCATCTATAATATATTGTCTAATAAATGAGAATCTGAAAAGCAAAAAATTATTTGGTACCTTAACTTAAAATTAATTTAATTGCACTTTTTTTTTTAAAGTTTGTATGTGGAAAATGTATGTAAGAGTGCTTCCCTTTCTCTCCCTTTATTGTCCTCTTTTGTGTATTGTAGAGACTCTGAATTCTCTGTGGCATATGCGTTATGTCTTCTGGTTATTTCTGTTCACCTTGATCTCTTAAGATACAAATTGACAAATAAACTACATTTTGACACTGCTAATTTATGCATAGTAAAACAATGATATTTGAATTTTTTCCAATTGCTGATATCTCCATTGACTGCATTTATCTTGCACATCTTTTCGGTATCTGAAAATGCCTGCTTATCATATTATTATTTTTATAACAGTAGTTTCTCTACTAAATTATGTTACAGAAATTGAGCTGACCTTGCTTTAGGCCCCAGTCCTGCTACTCGTTTTTCATTTGTGGAGTGAAGTGGCAACTGTGGGGCTTTTTTTCTTCTAGTATTCTTTTTGTACAGCATCCTGTGGTATCAGGCTTTTATTTATTACAACTGATTTGGCTGTTGGTGAGGATTGGGGGGTAGTTACGTTTTCCTTTCTGGGTTATACCTGCGCTAAAGACTGTCAAGTTTGTTTTATTTTGTTTGGTGAGCATTATTAATTCATCTTATTAAATAGGTTTGGTTTTGTGTGTGTGTAATGGGTTTAATTAGATTACTGAAATGGTTTTGATTTAATTAACCTTCCAAAAAGTGTGTTAGGCTATAGCATTGTTTCTGTTGTGCTTATAGTAGATCTAATAAAAGATTATGGTTCCAGTTTTAGATACAATTCAAGTTGAATAGTATTAAGCACATTTTAATTTAGGGGATAGGATGACTGAATAGATAATAAACAAAGATTAGAACCTGTTAGCTCTTGATCGCTTCTAGTTTAAATGTAGCCTAGCTTAGTGGTGGGGGGCTCATGTGAAATAATTGAAAGACTTGGCCTGATTCTGTCTGGTCAAAATCATCCATTTTATTTGTATTAACTGAGGTCTGTGGTAATGTTTTCAGTAAAGAGCTGCTGAAATGCTTTCGTATCTAATTTCCCCTCCAATTTCAAGTTTGAACCCTCTCAGTAAGGTGAACTAGCATTGCTGATGCTGGAAGTGTTTCATTTGTGAGTAGGAGTTTGTACTTAGCTTAATAGTAGCCCTTATCCTTACTTTAGACTTTTGAAAAGTTAAAAACTAAAAGCTTGAAGATCAGTGTAGATTATACTCAAAGGAGATAGGGTTTGTCTGGGTTTTTTTAAACAAATCATATGTTTAAATTAACTTCTGGAATACTGGATTTTCATATTGCTTTGCAGTTACAGTATAATTTCAGTGTTACTCTTTGTCATGAAGAACACAACAATTCCTGCTCTAAAAATATTTTAAATGAGAGGCTATAGCAACATGTCACTTTGGTAGCCTAGAAGAATTATGGAAGCTGAAGAAGGTCTGATGCTAGTTCATTGTGATTAGAAGGGGCAGGGGGGGAATGAATAACAAGTTTTTTGTTAAATTGGGCATGGTTCTGTTCAGACGACCTGATTACTTAGTTTGATGCCACCATAAGTGTTCGATACATTTCCAGTGAAATGAGTTGCATTATTTAGCTGTAAATGACTAAACTGTGATGTATTGGGAGAAGCAAATAGTGGTAGGATTGAGAGCCAGTATCTGTATTGGCATATATAATATAATACAGTTTAGATAATAAGGTGATCATTGTTCTAAAATGAGTTAAAAAAAAAAAAGAAGAAAAAAACAAAGATTAAGTCATGCTGCAGTTGTTGTACAAAACATTCAGCTGTGTGAGAGCAATGCCAGCCTGAACAGCATGTGGCCTTCAAGCGACACCACCACCCAGCCCTCTGGCAGCGCATGCTGTTGTTTTGGGACATACGCAGTGCTGGTGCTCAGCTGGCCCAGGGAATCGGTCCTGAGAAGTGACAGATGCCACCTGACTGCATTCAGTTCTTGTATTACTAGGACTTTGCCAAGCACCCTCAGGTTTTTAAAGTGCTTTACAGCTTTTCACAGGCTGCGTGCAGTAAAATCTGTGTGTACATAGCAAATTGTTGGTTGTTACCTAACTCTTTGAAACAGATTTTACCTCTGTAGTCGCTCTTGAATGATACAAGCATAGTTTGCTGCAAATTAGGTCACATCTTTCCAACTAACTACTCTTTTCCCTCTCTCCTCCAAAATGGGGTAGGCGATTCTTTTTCTATTACATGTATACATTTACGTAAATTTCATACTTGTGGCATAGAATGGCTTAGATATTACATGCAGTAAATTTTCAGGTATTCTTTTAAATTTTAGGGTTCTGGGTTATATTGATCTGACAGCTATCTTACAAGCATCAAAACAACATAAATTATTCTACCTGCAGAATATATTAAAAGTATTTGCAAAATTTGGTTGGGAAACTTACTTTTATTTGCAGCTGCATAACTCGATCATACCGCTACTGCCAGCCAGGAGGATGAGTGCAAAACTGGTGTGAAGATAATCTGAACCTTGCTTTCCGTCAAAGAAAAGTAATTGGGCAGAGATGACTCATTAATTGCACCCAAAACTATCAGATGTACAGTAAAATTCTGTTCTCCATCCTATCAGGCAGTATTGCACTTCCGCCTTCTTCAGGGAACAGCCTTCTCCATCTCTGGGACGCTCCTGTCTCATGTTGGAAGCCTTTAAATCTCTCAGATGGGATTTAGGTCCTTCACCTCATTCATCTAATCTGGGCCAGCAGTCTGACTAAGTGGGACCTGCTGCCTTCTGTTTTCTAAAAGGATCCATGTGCTCATGCACCATGTAACTTCTTTTTACCATTCAGTATGGCTTGTATGTCACAAGCTCTGACAGAATCCACGTGCTGTTTAGGAATAACAGCTTAGTCAGGAGTCTCAAGTTTTAAAATGGATGTAAGGAGGAAGTTTACCTCAATTTGGATGGTTTGGATAAACTCCTGTGTGTCAATAAATATGTTAATAGAGAGCCAGAGCACAATATTTGTTTTTATGTTTATATTATGCTGAATTTTATTGGTTTAAGACCATTTAAACTTTACCATAAGCAAAAGAAAAATGTTGATAGTTTTTGTTTGTTTTCACGCCATTGAGCTTCATGCCACAGAAATCAATGTTAAATTTAAATACGCCTTACATTAATCTTGAGAAACTGTGTCTGTGTTGTCACGGCAGGATGAAATAGAATTCATGCAAGAAGTCTGACCTTCAGCAGACACTAGCCCCTGGAACTTGAGTAGGTATTTGGACTTCACTTCAGTTGTCTGCAGATGTCCATGAAGCGAAGTTCCAAACTGCTGGTTATCTGGTTCCTTTAAAAAATTATTAGCCTGAAAATCATAGTCATTTGACTTTGATAGTATTGCTACCATTACTGCCAAAGTAATGGGAAAGATAAACACTGTCTCTGTCACATACACATTCATGAATTCTAATAATAGTCAAGACCATAAGTATAACTAGAAATAATGCTATAGGTCTTTGTTTTCCGCAGCTATTCAAACAAAGTAATGAAAAAATGTTGGATTGCAGTGTTTGGTAGGATAAAGGATACTACTGTCTCTAGAGATCTTGTGAATGCTGACATGCTGTCACAACAGATCAGTCTTATTGAGGATGTTTTGAAAGGTTATAAGTGGACTTTGTTTTTGAGGCTACACACTGCCAGCCTTTCCTCCCCACCCCCCCACTTCCTTTTTAATTCTCTTGTCTCTTTCC